TAAACTTGGAGGGCTGCAACCTATCATATTTGTTATAATTTATCGCGCCCAAAACCGCCTGGAGGATTTTTATCAGAGCTTCCTGAATTTTTATCTACTCTGGTTTTAAATTATGATAGACTGTTCTTTGTGGCGATTTTAATATTCATGTTGACCCCACCATATTTGCACTGACTTTTTAAATATGGCACTTCTTTTAACTTCAAACAACATTCAAAGGGCAAACCCATAACCGTGGTCATACACTGGACTTGGTTTTTACCCAGGGTTCAGCATTTCCTCTGTGGAATTAGGGACATGACCATATCTGACCACAGATGTATTGTTTTTAGCTGCGATTCGCCTGTTACTCATGCCGCCTCACCAAGCTCTGTGTGTTGTCGCATCTTTAATGAACAAAGTGTTTCAAAGTTTTGCGCATTCTTTCAGAGCCAAAGCCAACACCTGTCTGATTCCAACACCAACAATCTGGTCGATCACTAAATATTACTGCTCCTCTAAAGGTTAGGCCTACGTCTAAAGCTAGAAAGCAACCCTGGATAAATGACAGCATTCGCAGCCTCAAAAGGGAATGCAGGAAAGCAGAGCGCAGATGGAAAAAATCCAGTCTCCAAGTCCATTACCTCAGTCTGAAGGATTTATTAATTAACTACAATAACATGGTTAAGGATGCGAGAACACACTATTTTTCTGAACTCATTACTACACATAAACACAATCCCAGGTTTCTGTTTAAGAATGTGGATCAGCTGGTAAACCCAACCCCTCCTTGTGCCTCAGCTGGAAGTAATGATGACTGTGAATTGTTTTTATCTTATTTTACCAATAAGGTGGTCAATCAGAGCCTCTATTACCCCCGCCTCTTACTCAGAGGTTCCTCACCAGCAACAAGAGAGTTTTAACCAGTTTTATCCCATCGACTTGTCTGAGCTTTTAAAAACAGTATCACAAATGAGAGTGTCCTCCAGCCCACTTGATGTAATACCTACAAAGTATTTACTGAAAGTAATATTCTGTTGGGCCCCATTTGATCTCTGTTTTCAACAGCTCCCTATCTACTGGTTGTGTCCCTGATTATTTTAAAATGGCTTGTGTGAACCCACTTTTAAAGAAACCTGGTTTAGATCCCTCCCTCCCACAAAATTTTAGACCAATTTCAAAACTGCCTTTTATGCAAAGATTCTAGAAAGAATTGTGTCCAAACAGCTGCTCACTGTACTGGAAAATAACAATTATTTGAAAAGTTTCAGTCTGGTTTCAGGAAGTACCACAGCACTGAGACTGCCCTGCTTAAAGTCACCAATGACCTTTTAATGTCTGCTGATGAAGGTATGTGCTCAGTCCTGGTACTCCTGGACCTTAGCGCTGCTTTTGACACCATTGATCACAACATCATGTTAGACAGACTGAGGCACTGGGTGGGGATCTCTGGTACTGCCCTAGAATGGTTTTCATCCTACCTGTCAAATAAAGTTTTGCGTGTCTGTAAACAACTATGTCTCTTCGTTCTGTCCAGTTAAATATGGTGTGCCTCAGGGGTCGGTCTTAGGACCCATTTTGTTTTCCTGTATCTGCTTCCCCTTGGACATATTATCCATAAACATGGTATTTCTTTTCATATTTATGCTGATGACACACAAATATACTTGCCTGTCAGATCCACAGACCCTGGAATGCTGAGTTCACTTAACAACTGCCTTTGTGAAGTTAAAAAATGGATGTCAAATAATTTCCTCCAACTGAACTGACACAGAAATCCTGGTCATCGGGTCCCAGCAGATAGCAAAACAAATACTGCCATCTGCTGGTTCCCTAGTAAATCACATTAAGCCTGTGGCAAAGAACCTTGGTGTTTGGTTTGATAGTAATTTAAATTTCGAGCAGCACACCACAAAGCTTGTTCAATCATGTTTTTATCAACTTAGAAATATAGCAAAAATTTGATCTATGTTAACTTTTAAGGACTCCGAGACCATTTTACACGCCTTCATCTCATCACGCCTAGATTATTGCAACAGCCCTTTTCACTTGTTTAACCCAAAAATCTACTGATCGACTCCAGACTGTCCAGAACTCAGCTGCCAGGCTTTTAACCAGAACAAAGGAATATGACCACATTACTCCTATTTTAGCTTCATTACACTGGCTCCCAGTATGTTTTAGAATTGACTTTAAAATTCTATTGATCACTTTTAAAGCTCTTCATGGCCTCTCGCCTTGTTATATTTCTGACTTTTAGTCCCATACGCACCAGCACGTACCTTGAGATCCTCGGCAGAGGTCTGTTGTCTGTTCCAGAGTCTCGACTGAAAACTAAAGGGGACAGAGCGTTTGCTGTCAGGGCCCCGAGGCTCTGGAACAGCCTGCCCGAGGAAATCAGGTCGGCTGAGTCAGTGAACTCTTTTAAGTACCTTCTTAAAATACTTTTATAGGAGAGCCTTTCCCGATCTTATTTGACTTTATTTTATCCCTTTTATTGTATTTTACTAATTTTATATTTATCTTAAACGTGTATTTTAGTCTTTTCAATGTTTTCATGCTTTTATCTTGTATTGTGTTTGTATTATTGTCTCTTGGGTATTATTGTCTTTACACTTGTTAAAGCACTTTGTAACTTGTGTTACAACAAGTGCTCTACAAATAAAGAGTATTATTTATTATTATTATTATTATGATGTGGGAGAGGTAAAGAAAACACAAGAGGCTGCTATTTGTTATGAGTAAACAAAAACCTCATGAAACATAATCAGTCTGGATTTTTGTATTCATAAACATGCAGTGGAAATGTAATCAGGCTTATTAGTACTTTTTAAAGCTGCTACTGAAGTTCTTTTGGGGTGAAATTAGTAGAAAGACTGCAAACAGTTCATTTTCTGTTATTGTCATCCTGTACAGTTGATAAACTCAACACTTGCGTCTCGCTCACTCACTGCGTTATTTGTCAAACCTTCAGACCACAACCACCCTACCAGTCCACTGCTGGCTAAACCTCCCGAACTGTCCGAAGAAGCCAATTTATCTGCCTCCCTGAAGTTTGTAGCCGCCAATACTGTGGGTGAGTAAAGGATGGGCTGCTGAGTCCATGCTTAAAAGAGTACTCCACTGATTTTAGATTGCACTACTGAAACATTGTCAGACTCATGATGGACAGGTTAAAAACAATATCAAAACAGATGAGAAGAATCAAGAGATATCGTCTTTTTTTGGACCGTGATTTCTTCTTCCTTATTGAAACCCGATTCTGGTGAGTTATGCTAGTTGCTCGAGCCACTGGCCTGAGGCAGATATGAGGAACTACAGAGGTCTGATAAGTGCACTTCTAACTCCACACCCCCCTGTTTGTTTTTGTTTTGTTTCAAACTTATATACTTCAGACCTTAACTGATGCTGACTCGTGACCTCACTTCAGGCAACATATGAGATTTTGCGCAGCTCCCTCTGGAGCGCCAAAAGGCGTTATACAACTTGTGTTTCACACATTCAGTAGTACTCCTCAAGACCTGTAAACAGACTGTGTAAATCAGTGAAGTTTACCTTTTAATTGAGGCTATAATAATAAATAATCTCCAAGAAAATGTTGAAATTTTACAACAAATTTCAAAATTTTTCTTGTATAATTTCTGTTTCTATGCTTTGTGTTGTGAACTGCACATTTTTAGATTGTAGGTTGATCAAGTGTTTATGAGCTGCGTTTTTTTTATTTTTATTTCCGGCATGAAGGTGACGGTTACAGCAGTTCAGACTCTTTCACCTCAGACCAGGAGCCAATCACAAGACAAAGGTCGGTAGCTATCATGTGATTTAGTTTTGTTTATGTTCTTTATTGTTTATGTTTTTTTCTTACACTTTCTCACTGTAATTTACAGCTCATACACCGTTATCACTAGTATCAGTGTTTTTTATCTTTGACCATATTTCCACTTTTATTAACATCTGCTCAGATAATTGTAATTTTAAATAGATTCAGTAAACATTTTTCATCCTATCCTAACTCCAGAAACATAACGTTTGTGTTCAGGTCGCAGTCGGGTACGTCTCCAGAGGCTCTGAAGGTGGTAGCCCCGCCTCCCCCTCCACCCCCCCCCCCCCCTCTCACTCTCGCTCCTCGTCTCTCGACATGAACCGCACCTTCGCTGCCACATCTGCACCCGGACAACCACAACCGTCTACGATAGCTTACCCGCCTGCTGTGCCACCTCGACCGCTGCCCACACAGGTAAGAAACACTGTTTTACTTTACAGCAGCAGCAATGCGTTCAGGTACTACAGTGCAACGCATCACAGGGTCACAAGGTCTAACTGCATCACGTAATCACATATCCTGCATCAGGTGTGATTCGACTATAAGAATGACCTTCACCTCGCTCTTCCCTCTCTCTAGACATCAGTACCACATACCGGCCATCGCATAGAGGCAGAGGGTGCGCCTGGAGGCGGGGTGGTGCTCACCAGCACCTCCCCCCAACAGATTCCCCAGCAGCCCAATTTTGCAGACTTCAGTCAGTTTCAGGCCTTCGCTGCGTCTGAACAGCCTTCCAGCCTCCCGGAGGTCGATATGCACAGTGAGCCTGGACAGGTAGGTTGTTACCTGGAGTGTGTTTATCTCTACGTCTAAGTAGTATCTGTCTACCATTTCGTTGATAATGTGATTTAGGGTTGCACGATATGATAAAACAAATCATATTGCGATTATTTTGAAAGATTAAGATTTACGATATGATTCTCGATTAGTGGGAATGATCATTTTTGCATCACAATATTTTTTTCACAAAAACAATTCATATCAAATCATAATGGTATGACATTTGTTGGGCACTGTACCAAAGAAACATGTTTTCTTACATCTGGAACAAGATTTGTAGGCCGGGACATCTCAGCAGCTCTACAGTACTGTTTTGCCACACATTTTACCTTCATTAAAAAATTGCAGCTTCTGCGATTGGATATTGCAGTTGGTCATATTTCGATTAATTGCGCAGCCCTAATGTCTTTCTGTGTCCACAGGCGGAGAAGTCATCTGAGGGAGCCGGCCCTTTAAGAACAGTGAAGAGTGAAGGCCAGGCAGATGAGAGAGTCTCAGCTACTGTCAACTCTGTAAGTCAACATCTGGTGGTGTCATCTGAAGGTGTCACATCTTTGGTAATTACTGCGAATACATGAGAGAATATTAAACTATTTCTTAATGTGACACAGCTCAGGATAGATCAGAATCAGGAAGATCAGGGTTGCAGCATTTAAGCTGCTGATTATTTACTTGATTCAGTGATTGATTATTTTGTCGAGAAATAAGAGGCAAATGAAAAATGCTGATCAGTTTCCCAGTCTTCAAACTGCTTGTTTTGTCCAACTTATTGTCCAAAACCCAACTATATATATCAGCACTATCATATAAGATGCCGGAACCAGCACTTTTATTTAGTACGTATTGCTCAAAATGATTACCAAATTGATTGATTATCAAAAAAGTCAATATAATCGACTTATAGTTTCAGCTCTAAGTACATTTCATAAGATAACTTTTGACCTGTCAAACGTCATGAATACAGGTGAAAGCTTCGTTGCAAACAGTGAAAGGAAGCGGTGTTGTTATTGTCTTGGTTTTGTTTTCCCATCAGGTCAAGGGTTCGTCTGGTCCTCTAGCCCCTCCCCCAAAACCTGTGCGCCGAAGGTTGAAGTCGGAAGACGAGCTTCGACCGGAGGACGAACAACACGGTCCGCAGAAATCAAACGTCATAGCCGCCGTCCTGGCCACTCAGCCCTCCATCCCCAGGTAGAAAACATGGTCGGCTGGTTAACAAGACTGCAGAAGGTCTTGCTTAGCATAAGGGTTTTATTTTGTACATATTGCCTTTTAGTACGTAAGTGTGTATATTTGTGTGTTTTCAGGTCAGTGGGAAAGGACAAAAAGGCGATTCAAGCTTCAATCAGAAGAAACAAGGAGACGAACACAGTGTTGGCACGACTTAACAGTGAATTACAGCAGCAGCTGAAGGTATGTAGGATGTGCACTTTTGTTTTCTTTCTGAGTCTTTCCTCTCTGGCAAAAACGCTCTCATAACTTGTCATTTTCCAGGACCTGCTTGAAGAGAGGATATCCTTGGAAGTCCAGCTGGAGCAGCTCAGGCCTTTCTCTCATCTTTAACCAACGTGAAGAGGGAAACTCTGCTGTAGTTCATCCGAAGCAAGGCTCCCTCCCTCTCTTCCTTCCACCATCTCAGCTTTCCCTGGAAGCTCCGACGTGCTCCAGGGTGCTCCGTTAAAACTCTTACGCTCAATCAATCACACACTTATTAATCATAAACCGGAAGGACCTGAGGGCGCGGTCTTACCAAGAGGAGGAGTTGAAAGGAGCGTTGGGGGGGGGGGGATTTACAAACTGGCACTTTTTAATTTTCTCTAGGGAGATGAACATGAGGGCGACAGTGGACTGAGAAACAGTTAGGCGTGGTGGACAAGACGCTCCAACTGTCAGAGTGGTCTGAAGACAAAGTGCTGATGTCTTTACTCTCTGACTGAAGAAGAAAGGTGGAGTGTGTTTGTCATGTGCGTGTGACTCTTCGTGTAATTGTGTCCCTGTTTAGTGACTTACTTGAGGCTACCACCAGTATGTTCATTCTCTCTTAGGGCACAGACTGCCACACCAAACTTCTATTAAAAAGTAGGCAAATTTAAAGAAGCAGTTCAGTTAAGTGTGTTAGGAAATACAATTCTTCACTTTGTTTCTTAGAGTTAGATGAGAATATATCAAATCAATCTCATGTGGGTTCAGTACAGAGATGGAGTTTGCGAGTAGCTTAGCATAAAGACTAGAAGCAGGGGGAAACTCTCTGTCCAATGTCCAGAAATTGCAACTACCAGTGCCTCTAAAATTAACCAATTGACATGTGTTGATATATCTCATTACTACAAAAACAGAAAGGTAAAAACAACACTAAGGGGAGTTATATGCTGAAACAACTTAGTCTAACTCTCTGAAAGAAAGCGCTTAAATGTATTTCCCAAAATGTCAGAGTATTCCTTAAATTGTCTTCTCACTTGTTGGTGTTCCTACTTTTCTACTACCGTGAATACCTGTTCAAAACTAGATAACAATTATGAAAATGTCTGTTTTAAATATCAAAGAGAGTCTGTCTACTGAACATTTGCCTCCCAAATGTCAGCATTTAACAACAGTCTGTCACAGAGCGATGCCATAGCACACATTAGAGGCTTTGAAAACATGAAAAGGTCTACAGGAATCTACATATGCTAGTAAGAAAGTAACTGGAGTTTGGTGTGGTGGTCACTCTTCTGAAAAAGATATTGTGTGTATGTTTTGTGTGAGGCCTTTAATGGCTAAATTACCATGGTGAAGGCTTTTTTGACTCATCCTGTGACATGAATTCAGCGCACCTCCCTCTTCTCACTGCCCCTTGAAGAGTGTGTGTGTGTGTGTGTGTGGTTGAATGCACGATGCAGTGAACGAATAACTGCTCTGTCATCTTTTTTTTTTCTTTCTTAGTTACAAAGTGTTTGGGGTTTGATGTGACTGAATGGTTCAACCTTATGCCAAATGATTGAACAATCACTCTCTGCTCTCTCACCTCTACTTGGGCTGTGTTTTATAAACAAAAACAAAATGCGAGCTCTTTTCCCTTCTCTCGGCTAGCAGTGCTTCAACATTTCAACCTTTCCTTTAAACCTTCTTGGTTGCTGTGTTTATTTCCAGACTTTAACTTCACCTGGATGAGAAAGCATTATTCAAAACGGACATTTCACTTGAAGGGGTTGAAGATATTCCAGCTGCTTGACTGCTGGAGGCAGCAGCGTTCATGAAGAAATGTGTTGCTGACCAGGAGAGAAGGTTTCCTGTGATTTTCCCGGTCTGCAAACGCGTGCACAGATCCAAACTGATGGTGCAGAGAGTTGATATTGACTTTAAAAAAAAAAATTCAGCTGTTTTCCAATCGGGCAGTCGGCACTATGCAAGTATGGGCGATACATCTTCACAGACCAACTATACTTAGCTGTTTGTACTATGATAGTAGCAACTGTGTGAACAGTGTACTCTGGTTTTTGTATCTTAGATCTTCCAAAACACCATCTACTGTATGTTTCTGATTCATTTAGCCTTTTTTTTTTTTTTTTTGATCTTGGTACTGACGAGCAGTCCGCTTCCTCCGCTCTCCCGCTCCAGAGGGAAGTAAACTCCAGATCAGCGTTTTATCAGGGCACTGTCACTCTAATTTGCAAGATACGACCCTTTGCTGGTTGTAGATGAAGCTTAACAGGATTACAGACAGAGAGCAGTCAACAAAATGGGAGACCTGAATGACCCAACTGCACTTTGAACATAACCTCCTCCTCACCACCAATTTCCTTTGTGTTTTTTATTACGCCCCTCTTTGCTTTCTTTTAACCTGCATGTTGTTCTTCTCTTTCATATGTATTTAAAAAAAAAAAAAACGATTTATGAAGAAAGAAAAATGAACCACTTGAGTTTTATTTCTTCAGCACAACCTGGAAACTGTAAGGTTTTTGTGCCAGTACCCTAAAGTACTCTGTCTTGTTTGGTTAATTCTTATGTGTTTTATCCCTGGAGCTTCCTGTGTGTTCGAGAAGAATCTCATCGTCTTCTATAGCCTTACTCCCCGACTGGCGTTCAGGTTTCCGTTGTGGCTGACTGACCTCTCTTCCTTGTTGTATCAAGGCTCGCCTTCTTTGTTCTGCTGTTGAGGACTATGATGTACTTGGTCTGTGTGTGTGTGAGTGTGTTGTATTGTTTCCAGACCTGGAACTAATACCATTTAAAACCCTATTAAAAACCTTCATGTGGGATTGATTTGTTTGTTAGCACAACAGCTCCCCTCCATCCCTAAACCTAAAAAGGCAATCCAGGCAGGCGAAGCAATCTGTTGTTAACAAAGTCGTTGATGGGATTTTTAATGCTATTTGCTCCCAGATCTGTGTTGTATATTGTATATGATACACTCTTTTGGACTCATATGTAAATTTGCATTAATTGCTGACTAACAGCGAAAGAATATTCTATTTAATTCCTTCTCTCTTGGCTGTGGGATCTTAGATGTTTAACTGCATGGATGTACTGTATCTCTGCAGAGTCAACTAGCAGCTGTGTGATTTTTACACAAAAATAAAAACGGCACAATATTTTAAACGCTGCTCTCTTTATTGACTTATGTTTTGGGCCGTATTTATCATGTTAAAGAATACTTTTTAAGGAACATTATTGGGGGTAAAAGGATTTCGTAAACAGTAAAGGATAATAAATTTATTAAAGCATTCATTTTCTAGTGTAGGAGGAATTTTTAAAGGTAGTGAAAACACTTTTTCCTCACTCACTCTTCTTTTTATAAGCAATACGTAGGACATGACCTTCTGACTTCTGAAGTTAGAACAGTTTGGGATATTTTACTCAAATGTGTTTCTGTGCTGTGATGATGCAATTCAGCTGTTTTTGTTTTTATTTGCTTTTGTTGTTGGATGTTTTATTTACTAACTTAAACTGTTGCTTTTTTAGTCATGATATATAATGTTATGGATGTTCTATATTATACAGACTTGAAAAGACCTGAAGAAACCAAGAGGCTTTAAGATCAGCTCTCAAGTGATCACATGGTTAATCACATGTTTAAGAGAGGAATAGCAAGAAGCAATTATTTGTTCTTCAGAAAAACACAGCAAATCCTTACATACTTCTCAGTGATATGTTATATTGCAAAAGTCGACTATTTTATTTTTCACAAGTCAAATTTGTTTGTGTGAAATATTTTAATATCTCCAGTAGCACTTAGTGGTAAAAATAATAATTTAATATATCTATAATATAAAAATATCTAATTGCAGATTAAATCTAGCTGAAATTGATCAAAATCAAAACCAGAGCAGGGGAGAAGTTTGCACCACGAGCAGATGACGATGCAAGGAGAGTTATGGGAAAGCAGCAGCATGAAACTATTGTATTTATTGTTAAAGTCCAATCAAGGTCTGGAGATAACTCAAGAAAAATCAAAGCAAACAGGACACACAGGGTCTGAATAGTTCAGTGAGAGTATTTCAGTTCTTGATTTAAAAGCACTTTGTCATAATGTTGGTTAGACTCGGGGCCTAAAAAGTAAATAAATCCATTTTAAATCAAATCTGACATACAACATGCAATGGAGTGTGCAAAAAGTTTGGGATTTGAATCCAAAACTGTCCTACATGTGTGTTTGCCTGTTACTGAACTGAAGCCATCTAAAACACACCTCTCGAGCTCTCTGAAGCTTAAAAAATACTTTGACGTTTTATTCTTGAGATTGAAATGGAATGAATGTAAGTTAAATGGAGAACTTCATCTTCCACCATTTTTATCGTAGCAGTTTTCAGTAGTGGTCTCCTGCTATCATTTGCAGCACAGACATGGTATGTTAAATCCATACATGAGAACTTAATTTGACAAGAGTGTTATTGACTTAAATGGCAAAGTCAACTTACAAAAGAAGCCTTAATTCAGAGGAACATCTCAATAGGAATGACAGACACTGAATGGGTTTGAGCAGGTTTTTATTAGATCTATTAGAAGTATTGCTTGATTGCTAGGCTATTGTACAGAGGGGCTCAAAGAAATCCTGAACGTAATCAATGTATTTTCAAAAGTTCAGTCCCTTTGATCAGTGATTTTAATTTCAGCAAGTCAAACACCTCAACCAACTCTGATAAAAGCTACCAGAGGGCAGAGCAGGTCATTAAAGCCACTGAAACAGCCTGAATAAACTTGCTCTAAACTTTAGTTTTCTACAAATCAAATCTTTGTTTCATAGAACCTTTGTGTAAGGAAATATCAGTTCAATCTGCGTTTGTTAGAAAGCCTGAATGCAGACAATAAACAGTTTCAGAGTGAATCATGTTTATTAACGGAAACTCAAGCATGAATCGTTAAATGTAATGGCACCTTTTTGCAAAGCCCAGCTCACGATACAAGGCCTTACTATAGACATGACAAGGCCTGTTATCTATATCTACTGAATAACTTTTCTTACAGCAGGACAAAGAGCTCTAATGTAACAATATAAATATCTGAGGTTAAACTGTGTTGTTTGTGATAGCATGACTTAAATATTGTTTCCATCAGAATCAGTGGATTGGCTCCAGGGTTTTTTCCCCAGGTGTGTTTATCGTCGGGGTTTCAGCTGTGTTTTGATGAATCCAGAACATTCTCATGTCAGCAGACAGTTCAGGTCAGGGCGCAAATGCAGCTGGGACTTTATTTGACCACACTGGAAATACAAAGAGAAGGAGATCAGAGATTGTCAGTGATTGTTTTATATCCTATATTAGGCCACAGAGCCCTAAATAGACAAGACTGAATATATCTATACATCAGCGTGAAAGTTCTTTCTTGACATTGAGTTACATTTTGTCAAAATGTAACAAAGTCCAGTTACTAGCTTTTCCCCATAGTAACCCACATTGTGAGGTTATAATCGCTCCTTGTGGAAGACCAGAAGATGAGGAAAAAGCTCTTTCAAAAAATCTATTATTTAGGCTTTGAATTAACATTTCAGTTTTTTTGTTTTAGTTCAAATCACACAAAGTCAAGCAGCTGGAATATCTTCAACCTCTTCAAGTGAAATGTCTGTTTTGAATAATGCTTTCTCATCCAGGTGAAGTTAAAGTCTGGAAATAAACACAGCAACCAAGAAGGTTTAAAGGAAAGGTTGAAATGTTGAAGCACTGCTAGCCGAGAGAAGGGAAAAGAGCTCGCATTTTGTTTTTGTTTATAAAACACAGCCCAAGTAGAGGTGAGAGAGCAGAGAGTTAAACATAACACAGGGAAGAACTACACATTTTGTGTAAAAATCCTACATTGATCATTTCTAAAATGTATAAATGCATAGTCATTAGTAGCTACATGGATCTTGTACATGTAATAGTAATTGTACAGTATTTCCCTCCGAAATGTCTGAAAAGCAGAAAGTCCCTCAAATTGGAAATACTCATGTAAAGAACCAGGACCTCATATTTGTACTACAAAACAAAGGACAGTGTAGTAAATCTGCCCAGTTATCTAGAAAATAGTAAATTCCAGAAATACTGAAACTGAATTCAAGCTTTACAAATGCTTAAAGCAATGGTTAGATATTTGGAAAATACACTTATTTGCTTTCTTATCTTATGACATGTGTGCATGGTAAATATGAAAGTACAGCTAACTTAGCTTTGCACAGAGACTGAAAATGGGTAGAAAGCTAGCCTGCATCTGACAACAGTTGCTGGGAGCAGTGGAGAGGAAGGTTACTGGTTCCGGACAGTAAATGCCAGGCTATCTCCCCCCACTGTTCTCTATGCTAGGCTGTAGCTGTATGCTGTAGCTCAGTCTTCTCATCTAACTCTAAGCAAGAAAGCAAATAAAACTGTCCACAAAATTATCATTTTAAATTTGGTTATTTCTCCTGCTGGTGGTAGCCCTGCTCGACACTCACATGGTGGTTTCCTTGTAGCGGTCCAGAGCCTCCTGGGCCACCACCTCAGAGAACTTGGGGTCGGTCCAGGGGATGTCACCTGGCACACTGATGTTCATAGGTGGAGAGTCGAAGAGCTGCACAGACACGCTTGTTTCTTCAGGCTCCTTCTTCTCCTCGTCTGGCTTCCCCTCCATGTCCTTGCAGATCACCTGCAGCACAGCGGGGGGGGGGGGGGGGCGTTCATCTTAAGCAAAACTCTTGAAATAACCACACCATTCACAAAAAGCATGCAAACTGTTAAAAAATAGTAAGACAGTTTGTTTTAAAATTCATTTAAAGTTCATCCTGAAAGTAGGCTTTTTTGGAGATACACAGATTTCAGATTTTTGATGTTCATATTTGTCACATTTCTCACTATGCAGATCCCTCAGTAATTAAGGACATTTCTTTATCCATTGTTTGTTAATTTAGGAAAACTCCATCACTGACTACACAGCTAACATCCAATAAAAGCAGGTCACAAGTAAAAAAGATGTGAGTAATTAGTTATTTTTGGCAGTACATTTTATTATTTTATTTGCATTATTCCTACATGTACTGTATGTTTCCAGCTTCCCCAAAGAGAAAGACACAGCGCTGCAGTGAATGAGCTTAACAGATTATTTCAGCACAGCAGGACAACGGGCAGTTCCACATACCGTTTGAATCCGGAAGATGTCGTCCTTGGTGTTGGTGTCGTTTGCCAGAGACGACACCCAGCCGAACTGCCTGTTGAGCAGGTCCAGGATGGAGGAGGTGTTGAACATCTTCTCCTCGAACCTCTTCAGGAGGCTGTTGTACTGCTGAGTGAAACGCTCGGCCATGGCCAACGCTTCCTCCAGCTCCTCCTTCAGCGGGCCCTCCAGAGGTTTCTTCCCGGAGCAGTCTGTGAAGGAAACAGGTTGAATAACATCATCATGGAGTCACATTAGAAAAATCCCTTAACTGACTACACTGGGCTTGTACCAATTAAAAGGACATTAACATTTGTTTTATTGTATGATTCTTTATATAGTTTGGCATTTTGATCACGTCTGACCAAAGACTTTTTTCTGTGGTGTATTTAAACCATGAGCTGCAGCGTCTATAGTTCATGTCTGGTTGTTTTTGCATGTTGTGTTGCTCTGATAAAAACATCCCCAGATCATCACTCAGATCTCCATATCTGGGTTCCTGCTGGAAGAGGCTGCATGAAAGAACACACAGGACCTCACTGCACTGGACCTCACAGGTCTCACTGGTTTTAGGATGTATTTAATTTGTTACGGCTGTATGTGTTTCCCTGCGCTGTGTCCATGTTCCTTTTTTTCCTCTAGTTCTGCCCCAGGAGTGCTCCAGCTAATTACTGAATGAGGTCCACCTGGCCCTGGAAGGCGGTCTTTAAAAGCTCCTGTACCAGCATCTGAAGGAGGCTTTTTGATTTGGGACTGCTGCTTGCTGCCTCTCAGCTGGAGCATTTTGTGTTATGTTCTTGTGTGTTTTTGCTGTTCTTGATTTATTGTGTTATATTAATAAATCCTACTGATTTGGTTGTTTTAAAGGTGTTTAAACCTGTGTTTAGTTCAGTTTAGTTTGCCTCATGTAGCCACCAAAGGGTGGGGCGTAACAAATTATAAAGGATATTATTCATATTTTATTTTTATTTAATGTATTTTTCCCTCAGTATTGCTTGTTAGTTATTTCTTTTTGCTGCCTATATATATGTTACACATTTTCAAATGTATATACTCATTAATCTTGTCTCCATATTTTGGATTAATACTATTGGTTACAACATCAAATTTAAAATAAAACAATAACCCAGAGTTATCTCACCAATATGCTGGATGTCTCTGCATTTCTGACACTCGTCACGGAACTTGATGCAGCCGGCTGAGTTACGGCGAATCTCTCTGCAGGTCATCCTGCCGTTGCCGAAAGGTTTGGTGATGACAACATCCTCATTCATGCTGCCGTCTGCGACAATACACAAAAATACAGTTTGGAAGTTTGTTTTTAATTTGTCAATTCCCAACCTAGTGTCTCCCAAGTTAACATGTATGGTTTGAAACTATCGGAAAAACTCTGCAGGTTATCGCTCACAAATCCACTTTCTTACACCCCTTAAAAAAAATCTCTGTGAAGCTTCGGTGATCCCTAGTAGGGGTCGGGACTCCTAGGTTGGCAACCAGTCTAAAAGATCTGCAGGTCAGTATTCTGGTAATGAGGTTTCAAAACAACAAATTAATATTTGCATTTCTTTAAAAAGGCCTTTGAAGAAATTAAATACCCAATCACCACTTTAATTTGCTGTACAGTGTGTATTTGTCCATCATATCTTGTGACTTTTAACTTGTTAGTTTGTACTTTAATGGGAAAGATCTTCCAGACAGTTCAAGGTAATGCGGCAGATTTTTTACCGATGCATCTACAGTTTGGATGCAGGTGGTTCTGGCTTCTTTTAAGCTCTTTTTGTTCTTTCACATTACTTTGAAAACCTCGCACAGTATAGTACTAAATGTTAGATGTCTTTTATAGCCAATGCCCTTAACAGAAATTTTATAATATAACTAACTTTAAAGTAACTAAATCACCAGTGCAAACAGCTTCAAAGTTCAGTTATTTTGTTATTATATCCTGCATAAGACATAATTTAAATGTTTAAAAATGATTTTTGGACCTTAAAGTGCAGTAATATCACGATAAACAGTCAAAAGATAACTAAAATAGACTGAGTTTAAGACTCCCACTTATGGATCACTGGTGTGCACTTGGAAAAAGTCACAGCATACTACAGTAGATTGATGTTTTCCCCACGTTTGTGTGAATCCAGCTACAGTTTCTATCAGCCAAACATCCTGCAAACCCAACACAAGCTTTCTGAATATTAAGTCAACAGGGCATCTATAGTGATTTAAGTACAACATGTCAGAAAACTTGCCCTCATTAGGAGGTGTGTCTGAGTTGATGTCCATCATGGAGCCCATAGAACTGAAGAAGTTCCTGCCCATGCCCATCATAGGGGAGAACAAACTCTGGAAGTTGTGTAAAGGATTGTGGAATACAGAGCGAATGCTCCTGGCCCGGCGAGTGTACTGTCCCAGGAAATTGGGAAGAAAGAACACTGGAGGGTTGTAATGCACATGATCAGCCACCTGAGAAACAGCAATGACACACAGAGACACAGCTGATGATGTTGTAGTTGTGAACCTCTTTGTTCTGTGAGTGTACTGTTTGAATATCCATAATAAGGATTTACCCTAGTTTTGTTCTGAGATTCATCTTTAAAGCTCTACTAAGCTTCCAAATCTTGCAATTATGGCACATAATTCAATTAATTAATTGATTCTTTTGACTACTTTGAGGGCGGCAGAACAAGCTGTAAATACTACGTCTGAGATACTTGTACTTTACTTAAGTTTTTATTTTGACAGACAGAGTCCGACTATTATATAAAACAAAACAAAACATAATACAAAACTTATAGATTGTGATGTATTATTATAGATTAAGCTACACAGCAGTACATAAAGTAGTTCGAAAATACCTATTTTACCTGCTGCAACATTAGAGATGCTAACACTAATTGAATCGCTGATTAAAATGCAATACAATAAAATATACATTATTCTGAAATTGGCCATTTTGCATAATGAGTACTTTTTAGTACGTGTTATTGCTTAAACAGTTTTATGGCTTTTATGCTCCTTACCTAATTCTCACTTGATTTATTACCTAAACACTTTCCTAATCAGTATATTGTCTCAATCGCTAGTTTCAAGTCTTCTTAAATACAACATGATATTCATTTTTGGTCCCATTTACCGTAAAATACATAATAAAGCAGGGCATGCTTTAGGGCGGGGCTACCTTGACGTGTTTTCAGTTCACGGAAGTTAATTGTTACATTGTCGTCGCCTAAAAATGTCTTGTTCAGCAGCCGGTTGTACTAAAAGACACTCTAAGGAGTTCGCTGTTAACTTTTATTGTTTTGCCAAAAGTAGCATCCCAATTAATATCACCTGAATTACAGACGCACCTTACTAACAAAGCTAATCTAGTACATTTAAAAAGTACCTTCATGCTGTCTGTGAATATGCTGTCCACACCGTCAGCCATCACTGTGTATTTTTCCTCCAGGTTCTTGAATTCTTTGCTCTGCCGCTGTCCCTCCCGCTCCAGGACGTCTATCTTCTCCCCGTTGATCCAGATGGAGAAGGGTGATGTTCTGTTTAGAACGTCCTCCAGCTGCAGATACAAGGAGTGAAGAAGGCGGAGACAGGGAGGAAACGGTGTTGTAGTAGGAGTGATTGTGTTTCATGTTATGTGTTTCTGGTAGGATTTTGAGGGCTGATGTATTTGTGTATTTACAGTATCATTAAATATGACACTTTACATATCAATGATATGCTTGTTTCTTTGTCATTTTTCAAATTATTTTATACTTGTCAGGAGAAGACACCGAATCCAAAGTTACTACTTATCATCAGTGGTGGGGGGAGGAGGGGGTAGTACTCAGTATGGCACTTGGGGGATGTTTGTGTTGGCAAAGCAGTTGTCAAGTTGTTAGTCTGTTGATGTTGTTGGTCTGACATTTGCTATATGACACAAAATTAAAAAATTTTGCATGAAAAATAAGAAACGATTATCAAAATAGTTGGCAGTTAATTTTCTGTCAATCAATAAATTGACTAATTGTTTCAGCTCTACTTTTGTTTTGTGTGTGAAAATATTAATTTGTAACTAACTAAAGCTGTAAAATAATTGTAGTTGAGTAAAAAGTACAGAATTTCCCTCTGAATTGTAGTAGAATTGAGTAGAATCAGAAAGTGGCACGAGAAGAAATCTGAGTACCTCAAAGTACTGTATTTGAGTATAAATATACTTAGTTACATTACACCACTGATCATCATTAACATATTTGTGCATACTTGAGTTAAAAGGAAAGTTGCATGACTGTCACTGTCACACTTAAGGGATTTCTATAAAGAACCAGCAATACTGATTAATTCTCAAAGCAATAAGTAATCAATGAAACTGCATTATATCCTTTATTTTAAATATATTACATTATATCCTTTATAGACAATACCATTGTATGGATCATAATCAAACGCTGATATAAATAATCTATTATGAGTATATGTGTGTGTACATGTGATGGTCTGACCTGGCGTCCCACCAGTCCAGATCCGCTGCTGCATGTCCGGGAGTAGTATTTAACGCAGGTGTTCTTCAGACAAGGCTTACATTCCTCCCACAGAGACTTCATGGTCTCATTGCAGACCTCTTCCTCCTGCTCCAGCTTGGCTTCCATCTCCTGAGCTGTACGGATCGCTTCCTGCAGCGAAACAGAAACAAAGATTGAAAGAGGCAGGCTTTTACTTTAGTGGGATCATTAGAAGTTAGCGTTCATTGCTAGTTATGGCATCACATTTCCTTGGGATGAAATGCCAGTGAAACAGTTCTCAGATTCTCTAGGTTAGAACAAAATGACTGTAAGATAATTAAATATATCTAATATATTTAGCCTTATTTGGTTTTAAGATTGCTTTACATATAATGACAGAAACCTCTTACTACACCTGTTAAACTGCCAAACTGACTGTATTACTACTTGATAACATTCGGTAGGATTTTTCACACTTCTCTGTCACCAAGAAAGTGGGCACTGTTGTCAGAGCTGATCAGACAACAACAATAATCTTTAAACAAACAAATATTTCTGCAAACATTTGTAGGAATTCAGCCCATTTTGTCAGGAAATGGGGGAGATGACCTGCCTGGCAAAAACCAAAATGTTTTCCATTTAAAATTTTCACTTGTTAAAATAAAATATATAACATTTCAGTTCTTCCAGTTGCTTATAAGAGAGGTATACACACTGGATGTAGTGCTTTGCAATCATTTTACAGTTTTACTCTGCTTTGCCAAAAAAAACTCTTCACCAATCAGTAGCCAACTATATTGGGACAAAATAAGCCCATTTGTTTCCCAGTGCATCATATCTTAACAACAACTGTATCATGTTTGAAAAATGAATCTAAATCCATTGATTATTAGGAAATTCTATAATATAAAGAAACACTGTCTCAGTCTGTCGTTATTGCTGATGTCTCACACAAACATGTTTCTACCTCTTTCTGCAGCTTGGTCTCCTCCAAGGCATCCACAAACTTCTTGTGGTCCTCGGAAGACTTCTGCATCACACTCTTCATCTCCTTCACTCCGTTAATGGCATTTTCAATCTGTTTATCCAGATACTTCCCTCCCTGGAGTGAGAGCTCTGTAAAAAATTACATATCGCATTTTCTCTGCAGGTGTATTCATGTAACAGGCTGCCTCTTTGACCGAACTGATTATTTTTTCATTACAAAGTAAATTCTAAAATATATGAAGGGTATTTTTTTGTACAAGTTTATTTACACTATGTATAAGCAAAATGCCCTTTTACTCTGTTCTGCAACCCCTGGCACTGCCACTTGACCTAATTTCAATTTTGAGCATTTTCATTCAAACTCGAATTCAATACCCGTTATTCTAGACCGCTTTATGGTATTTTTCTTTAATTTTGCAAAATTTTGTCATTTCAATGAAGGTGGTTTAAGAACCTCCTCATCCAAATTACAAAAATATATTTCTATTAATAGTGATATCCTGCCATTGAGATCTCTGAGATCCACAGACAAAAATGAAAAATCCACAAACAATTTGTTTTTTTATAATTACGTTGAACTGACACAAAGTTTGAAGCAGGTGCGGTGAGACTTACCGGTAAGATCTTCTTTTGAAGGAGGAACAATGCAGTTGACTGAAGCCAGAAGTAGGGCCACAGCAGCCAGAGACTTCGACCCCTTCTTCTTCAACATCATCATCATCATTAACATCCTCTCTGACTCTCACAGGGCCAGCAGGCAATGATGAGAAAAAAAACCTGACAAACAACAGACATGAACACACAGGTTTAGTCCAAACTCCTCCTGACTGTTGTAATGTTTTGTAATGTCCCTACACGTCCACTAGAGGGCGACATGAGCTGTAAAGGAAGCTGACCGAGAGCTACGCAGTAAAAAATGATCATGCTTGCTCAGCAGTTTTCCGCCCTTACAGAGCATAACATAAAAATAACGCACTGATCAATACTAATAAATAATTCAAACTCATGTCTGCTGAATGAATCATTTCCCCCGTCTCCAGTTTCATTCCATCAGCAAGGACATTATCATAGAACAGACCTCAGATCAGTGTTTCCTGTGACTTTGACCACCTGTGCCTTTCTAAAACATTATATAAGGAGAACAGCAGGCCCTTTCTCTGTTTGCCCATTTTTTCTGCTGCTTGATCAGCTGCCCATGTATTCAATTTTGACAGCTTCAACATAACACACGAGATAAAGACAGAGGGATAAAGTCATCAGACAGATGGGCTGCCCTTCTCTTTGCTTTTCTCAGCCAGAATAAATCTCTCTCTGCGGGTCTACGCTCTGTTGATCATTTCTGCTGCCAGACACAACCCTCCCTTTTCCTCTAAATACACAGCATGATGATGTGCACCAATATATCCATTGTCAAGCAAAGTAATGACATTATTTTAATGTGCAAAAAGTTGGCCAGTCATCAAAAGTAGAATGAAAAACACAGCGTACAAACTATAGACAAACATTGAAAGTTTCATTCTAAAACCTTGGTTATTAATCTGCTGCTGTAAGAGACTCCACCCTCCTGGGTTCAGGCTTTCCACCAGGTTTTGGACCCCGGACTGGGAAACAAAAGGGGCCCAGCTAATTATAAGGGCCCGACAATTCCCACGTGGAACGTGATCATATGACGTCATCGCCTATTCCGCAGTGAATAGGTCTATTTTTGACGGAAGCTGTTTCAACCCTTGTACAGGGCAGATCGAACCGGGCAGGATATAAAACTACCTCGTGGTGACTCCCGATCATAAAACAACAATAAACACGGTTAAAACAGACAAAAAAAGTAACCATTTAACTACATAGCCAACTTAATCATAGTAGAAGTACAAAAATGACAAATTAACAACTCAATAACATGGGCAGGCTACACGCTAGGCTGCTGAAACGCTTCTGAGGATGGAACAAAATCTTAATTTTTTCTGAGCTAGATTTGCATTTGGCACTTCAGCTGCTGTCCGTGGTGCTGATCAAAGGCTGAAGGTCTACAATTGTGTGGAGCCATTGTGTGTCTGTACCTATCGTGTACACGAACAGTTTAGAGTTGTGTTTCTGTCCACTTGGTGAATGCAAGTCCAACATTCACTCTCCTTTTAGCTCTGTTTTTGGTCTCCACCAACTCCTGAGGGAAATATCTGGCTCTTCAGCAGCTAAATGCTCCACTATGTTCACCAGCTAGTCGCTAACTTTGTCCGTACAGTGGATTTATCAGAGTTTTCCAACTAAAAACAGTTGCCTGATGCTGCTGCTGGAAACAAAGCTGATGAGAGCCTTGAGACTGAACCAAAACAGTAAACTTGAAGGCCGTAAAACAACAATGAGCTGAAAGATACTAAACCACTCTTTTATATGACACGTATTCATTTAATTCATTGTTAATGTAAAAATATTCATCCTAGTAGCTTTAAATAAATACATGCATACTTTTGGCCATATAATTAAGTTTTAGAAGGTCATATCATCCAAGTTAAGAGGGATGTTGTTGACCCAGATGGAATAAAGTTATGTTTACTGTCAAGAAAACAAAATAAATGTTATGTAACTTAATTTTTTAGATTAGAAAGCGCTTGTTCATCCCCTCCTCAGTGTTGTTTGTGCAGTCACCTGCTCGCCCACTATCTCCTGTTCCTATGGAAACGAGCAAAGTACAGAATGTACAGCATCTTTTTGCATCATATTTGGTGTAAAGCTGTCCAATCAACACAAATAATTTATAACTTTCACATTACTTTGTTATTTGACCTCTTAACATACACACTTTCCCCCATTTATTCTACATTGTCTGACAGTTACACACACAGTTTATTCATTATTGGCTTCTTTAAACTTCATCGAGGCTGTACTCAAGTTCAAATCAAGTTTTCTATGCATCATTTTAACCAGTACACTCTTACCCCATTTCAGCCCGTCATATTTGGTGTCTTTGGAAACTTTTCGATCCCTAATACAATTTAAACATAATCAGTTAATGTACTGATTATATAACCTCTACCAATATCTGTGATTTTAATCTGCAGTGAAAAACAGAACGAAATGTCACCAACTGTTCCAAACCCTGTAGGACAGGGCGCCCACCTGGGGGATAAAAAGTCCCATTTTCTCCTGTGCTAATGTGTTCATGAGTTTAACACATACGGTGCAGCAAACTGCAGCAGCTTTCACAATGGGGTCAATATCCATGCGACAATAAACCTCTTGCTTAATTACAACATGCCAGTTACTGGAAGGTTCGTAAACAGGGAATGACTGCCAACAGCGAGATCTTTTCTTAATGAGAAAAAAAAAGTAGACGTGCAGAGAGAGAGAGGAAACATTGTGGAGAAAAAAAAACAAAGCCAGAGACAGTCAGAACGGTTGACAGAGAGAAAGTTAAACAAATAAAAAGGAAAGGAGAAATAATTTACAATGCGCAAGTTGAGCTACATTATTTGCTCAATAGCAGCTGCCGGATCCTGATTACACAACCAAAGAATGCAAACCGACCAACAGGCCTTTAGTCCAGATGTTGCCAGCAAGACCTTCCAGAAAGTTCAGCTGTGCGTAGTGAAATGCGGTTCTACGTAAAACATCTGTCCGCTATGAAACACATTGTCCTTTCAGGCAACCACATCTGCATCATGTTGAGTGGTTTATTTTAGTCCATATATAAAGTTATATATAGATATCACTGTACATTATATTGTTATTATTGTATTTTATATTGTAGTATATACTTCTATATCACAATATTTCATTTCTTTACAGTAAATATTTCATAGCATTATAATATTATTGTTTAGTGTGTATATTACACATACTGCAATATATTACATATAAGATGATATAGTATAATTTCAGTACCTTTTAAGCAAAAATTATAAAACTTCAATGGTTCCAGCTTCTGTCCTTGTTCTAAATGTGAATACTTGCCTGTTTTTTTGTGGTTTATGATAATACATTATCTATCTTATATCTATATATATCGTCCTCTTGGCCTCAGGGAAATTTTGGTGACCATTTTATACTAATAACTGACATTTTATAGACCAAACAATTAATTAAATTATCAAAGTTAGTTGCAACAACTCTTTAATATATTATTACATATGTTATTATATATACTTCATCATAACTGCCAGAGTTGCACTTCTGGATATCTTTGCACAAATATTTGCACAATTCATTAATATAGTCTGATGTACTCTAATGTACTCTATTGTGTTGTTTACTATGGTTGTATACAGCTTTTTTAATGTAATTTTCTCTAATTCATCATTTTATTTTTCATTTATTTCTTTAAGTAGTTCTTTATCTGTTTGTTTGTTTTGTTGTTTTTTTTTTTTTTTTACCTCTAAGCCCATACCTTTATTTGTATCTGTTGTATTAACATTTATACATCAGCTGATAACTGTAAGTTGCTGATGCTTGTGTTTACTATTAATTAATGCTCCGTCTGCTTCTGTGCCATTCTCTCTGTTAGAAGCTCAAACGACTTTCCCAGAGCCAGAATAAGAAGGTAAAATTAACTAATCTGGATCATCTGGGCTCCATTTACACCACATGGGACACTGGCATGGGACCTTTTGGCCTCATTTTAAGTGTTTGGGGATTTTTGCACCCAACGGATTCCCTTGTCATATGGTTATGGAGAAATTAAGGTCAGTTATAAACTAGAAAATGTACAAGAAAATGGGAACATATATATAAAAAACATAGCTATTCTACAGCAGATTTGCATGATTATTAGAATAGTACAAGTGAATGCTGTTTAACTGCATTTAAAACCCAACCTGCATGTCTCCTCTATTCCTTCACTCAACACTGTCAACAGTGTCAGATAGACACAGCAGTAGACATACATGTTTACATTCCTGTTTTGCAGTTAGCATTGCAGCTGAGTCTGCCTGTGTTTATAGCCTAAAGTATGACGTCATCTACCCTAATCCAGTTGTTTTGTTCCAAAGATGGAGGTCACACCCATGAGTAAGCAATATAAACAGCAGCCATGCAGTCAGCATTTCTGCATAAAGAAAAACAACTAAAGGAACCAACATTTTAATATAGCCTATAAATTAGTAAGAAATGTTTAAAGAATTGACATTCAATAAGCTTAACCAGGGAACTGCAGCTGATGTTTTGAACTAATTTATCATTATAAAACTGCTTTGTACATAAATAGACAATATTTCTTCTGAGCATCACGAGCTGCAGACTCTGAAATAAAAAAATAAAATCAAAGCCCCTCTGACTCACCTCTGTTTGTTTCCTGAGACTCCAGATCGTCTGAAGCTGCTTCTGTCTCTCTGCGGCTCGTATTTATACCGCTGGATAACGGGGATGGTGCAGGCATGTGATTCACTGACCAAACACGCTGCCCCGCCGCAGCTACTGTCACGCTGCAGCAACAAAAGATAATTTCCTGTATTAGGCTTCAAAATAAATCTTTATCATCAATGTTTCTTTCAAAGTTTGGACAAAAACTGCCATTTGTTGTAAACATGGTAACTGTGTTTTCTCATGTGGCATTAAAATCTTGTAAAGTTATCAAAGGAATAGTAAAAGTAGTTTTTCTTCTCCTTGCCTTATCAGCACTGTTTTAAATATGAAGCATATGTTAGCTACCCTGTTAGCTTAGCTTTGCAGCACTTCTAAAGCTTGCCATATATGTCTTGTTTGATTAATCTTTAGCCTACCTAAATAAAGTTTAAAAAGACAATTCGGCATTTTTATGTAGGCTACTTGCAAAATCTTTTTCTTCTTAGGACTAGGATGGTCAATGTGGTTTATTTATATTATATATATTTATATAAAATAAAATAATAATTGGTATCAATCCTTTTAACTTACTCTTGGCAAGAAAGCCAATAAGCATAGTTCCCATAGTGTCAACCTACTCCTTTAAATGCAGGGTCTATTTAGTGAGATCGATAAATAATAATAATATAACTATGTGAGGCATGTAGGTGTATCAGTGCAAATGGGAATGAAACAGATTTTCATAGAAGAAAATTATCCCACCTTGGAAAAGAGTTTTTAGCAAGTATAGCTGACTTGGAAAAAATGGAAGGAGGAAATAATCAAATTCAGAAAGAGGTCAGAGAAATAAAAAGTAAGGCAAAGAATCATTATGAAGCCTAGTTATTTGCTTTAAAAAAGCCTCAGGGATGTTTACCTAACACAATATCTTTTCAGAACATTAAGTTAATTTCATAAAGTAAAATATGCTAAGTAACACATTTGTCCATACTATATAATAATAATCAATAATATTATTACTAATAACATCATAGTTTTGAGCTGACATGTGTAAATTAATAGTTATAGTAATATTTTTAATAACTGTTGATGCCTGAAAATCACATGGTGTTTAAATGTCACATCTGTTATAGAACACTGATGATAAAACAAGTACTCACAACACATTCGAGCAAATCTAAAAGATGTTTTTGGAAAGTAACTGTAGAGAAAACAAAAACATTTTCAGTATGTAATTGATTTTTTAATTAATATGTAACAAAAATAGTGCCATTTTGCAGTAAGATGATAAAAAAGAGCCTACATATGTCTATACAGTATATCCTGTTATGTCTGTGCTAGTTTCACACTATGTTATGTATTGTAAATTATGTGAAATATACATAATTATGTATATTATCTTGCTATAACTATATCTAACTTATATCTATATAAAGGCTTGGTCTTCTGTCAAGAGAAAACATCTTATTTTCTTTTCACTCAGCCTACCTTATATATTTTATTTGAATTGCTTTACTTAACATAAAACTAGTAATTAAGCTATGGTTAGTTTGTCCCTTTCCTCCACTGTACAAAAAAAACTTGCTTTATTTTGAAATCCAAATGCAATTTCTTTTTAACTCTACCTTACTTGACATGAGCCTGAGGACTTTTCCAGAAGTTTTGTAATTTATTGGCAGCAGTGCTCAGAGCTGCTGAGGGGAAAGACAAATATTTGATTCATCCTGAGGGTGATTCAGCATATAATAATTTCAGTTTCACATTTGTTTATCTGTAGTCCACATTATATTTACAGTCTCAAAACAGATGTACAGACACACATAGCCTAGGCTAACAATACAGATAATTACACAGTTCATACATTGATAGCATGTGTTTAGCAAAGCCTTAAATATAGTATTCACTAATACCTTAATTTACCTTCATGCCGGAGTGTGTATGTGTCTGTGTGTGGATGTGTTGCTTTAAATAAAATGACAAACAAAACTCCTATACAGTCATACTTTTATTATCAACTGTAGCTCGTTTACAGTTTTGTTTTTATATTTTTCAAGGTTTTAAGAGGCTCCAAACATGTTTCACAGAACACATTTACGCTTCGTAGATGTAAGTAATATCATTAACAAAGGCTCTACTGTGTTTATGTGTCCCAGTGAGCCAATTCCAACAAGCCATGCATAACACCATGACCCTGATTACAGTGCAGCCATCTTTGATGTTATTAATTACACATGCACTTTTCCTGCTTTTACAAGTCAAAATATTTTATCATATCTTTAAATAAACAGTAATCCTAATCTTAAAAAACAGACTGTTTCATCTCTGTTAAAACTGCAGAAGGGTGTGGGAGTTACTGACAAAATAATAAAGTAATCATAATCTACAATTATTAATCTACCATCTGTTAATGAAACCTCCCTGACAACCATATCCAAATTTGGTAGTTGCAATTTCTCGGTTGAAATCAAGGGAAAAGTGTTTCTGTGTTTCATTGTTGAGCAAAATAAACCACTTTATTATCTGTAAAGAAAG